CAATCTCTTTTTCTTCTTCTTCTACTCCTATGGGAAATTATAATTGTCTCCTCACATGTAGTAGTGCAAACCTAACTGCAAATGCAGCCAGGGAGATTGGAAGAAATCCTAACTGGCACAGGAATACTGAAAGGCAGCCTATAGAAGAGCTGCTCAAGGACCCAGGCCTCTTCTGAAGCCTTGCAGTGGGCTTCAGTTCCGACACAGATTTGGTATCTTATCTGTGTTATCTATTTCTTTCACTGTGTGCTTGCAGTGTGAGTCTGACCACTATGCAATGTAACTTGTTTCTTTCACTTGATTTTTTTCATTTTACTAAAATAACCAGTGGGGTCACCATGGCTATAAAGGTAGATGCAACACTGGCATATATGCATGGAAACCACAAAGCAACTGATTTTAAGCATCTGTTCCTGTTTCCTTTTAACTTTGGAGTGATATTCTTTTAGATAGTTTTAGTTAGCATATCCTGTTCTTTCATTGCCCTAAGACACATTTCACCCTCCTGCAGAATGCATTTCACCCTCCAGGGCCGTAATATAATTTATCTGGACCTGGTATGAACTTGTGACATGTCCTCTCCCACCTCACACAGAAAAGAAGCGTTTCTCTTATTTGTGAAATAACGTGAGTAGATGAAGTGATCTATGTATGTCCAAATCCCACTAAAATGTATGCATTGCTTCCCCCACCCCCATGCTTGGTGCACTCTGGCAGCAATTTCTTCACCCAAGAGTTTTTGGAGCTGTTACAGTATAGAGATAGGTAACAGACTTCATTTAATCTGAAGTCTAGCATAGTTTTATTTCCACGTGAATGTATTTAACAGCCACTGAGCTAAATGAGAAACTTCCTAGTACATAAACTTTAGGTTTCAGTTTCATTGTTTAACTAGTGTGGTATACTGGTTGAAGTGTCAGACTAGGATATGGGAGAACAAGGTTTGAATTCCCAATCTGCCATGGAACCTTTCGGTGGGATCTTGGGTCAGTCACACTCAGCCTATCCTACCTCACAAGGTTGTTGTGAGGATAAAATGGAGGAAAGGAGAATGATGCCAGCTATTTACATCTCCATCGGGGAGAAAGGCAAGGCATGAATGAGATAAAGAAATATCCCTGGATATTTCATTGGATCAGTGGATATCATTACATCCTATTTAATATACATAAGAACATGAGAGAAGCCAATGTTGGATCAGGCCAATGGCCCATCCAGTCCAAGACTGTCACACAGTGGCCAAAAATACCATGTGCCATCAGAAGGTCCATCAGTGGGGCCAGGACACTAGAAGTCCTCCCACTGTTGCCCCCCCTCAAGCACCAAGAACACTTGCCCCAGACTGAGAGTTCCTATCTATACCTTGTGGCTAATAGCAACTGAAGGACCTCTGCTCCATATGTTTATTCAATTCCCTCTTGAAGCCGTCCATATTTGTAGCTACCACCACCTCCTATGGCAGTGAATTCCATGTGTTAATCACTTTGGGTGCAGATGTACTTCCTTTTATTTGTTCTAACCTGACTGCTCAGCAATTTCATTGAGTGCCCACGAGTTCTTGTATTGTGAAAAAGGGAGAAAAGTACTTCTTTCTCTACCTGCTCTATCCCATGCATAATCTTGTAAACCTCTATCATGTCACCCCTCAGCCATTGTTTCTCCAAACTAAAGAGCCCCAAGCGCTTTAACCTTTCTTCATAGGGAAAGTGTTCCAACCCTTTTATCATTCTAGTTGCACTTTTCTGCACTTTTTCCCAATGCTATAATATTCTTTGTGAGGTGTGGTGACCAGAACTGTACACAGTACTCCAAATGAAGTCACACCATCAGTTTATACAGGGGCATTATGATACTGGCTGATTTGTTTTCAATTCCCTTCCTAATAAACCCCAGCATAGCATTGGCCTTTTTTATTGCAGTTGCAAACTCTCTCAACATTTTCAGTGTGTTATCTACAACAACGCCAAGATCTCCCTTTTGGTCAGTCTCCGCCAGTTTTGACCCCATCAATGTGTATATATAGAGGCAGGTTGCATTCCTATACACACTTACATGAGAATAAGACTCAGTGAACAGCAAGACTTACTTTCCAGTAAGTACAGAGAGAATCAGGCTCTGATTCCTCCCTAAGAGTAGAACTGCACGTTATACTGACAAAGAAGAAGAGATTTGTTTTATACCTTGCCCTTCACTACCCAAAGGAGTCTCAGAGTGGCTTACAATCTCCTTTCCCTTCCCTTCCCCACAACAGACACCCTGTGAGGTAGGTGGGGCTGGGAGAGCTCTTTTGAGAACTGCCCTTGAGAGCAGCTCTGAAAGAACTTGTAACTGACCCAAACTCACACCAGCAGCTACATGTGGAGGCGTGGGGAATCATACCCAGTTCTCCCAGATTAGAGTCCACGCTCCTAACCACTACACCAAACTGGCAAATGTGTTTACTCAACATAGTTGCTATTTAATGGTACGAGCAATAATGGGCATCTGCAGGATAGGATTAGTTGGCCTGCTTATTCTTCTCATCAAAATACTCATCCCCAAGAAAGTTTTTCCCCCACAGATAGGATGCTTCTATCCCTTGGATGAGGGGAAAATAGTTTGTTTTTGAAGGCTGAGAGGAGAGGCATTTGGAAAGGAGGATAAGAGGGAAGGGGGAACAGTTAAGTGCCTCCTTCTGTTTGTCTGGTCTTCTCCACAGACACTCCTTTATGCTTGGCACTAGTATTAATTCCACCCTTAGGCAGTTAAATCTGGTGGAGGTTTGTGCCCATCCCTCCAACATGAAAGCTTCCCTAAATACATTGTCTAATGCCCTGGTCTCCTTTTAGGAACAGATGTTATGCTGCTTGAAGACTACAGCTTGGATGGAGTTAATCACCCACACTGCATTTATCCCCACCGGCGGCGGAGTTCTGTGACGTTTGAAGATGAAGTGGAACAACTTAAAGGTGTTGCTTAGATAGCTTTTTAATAATGAGGTGTTACAAACAGAAGAGACTTCTTGCTTTAATCTTCCATGAAGCACTTAAAATATTATTGAACTCTGTGCAAGGTTTAACGATCAACACAGTCCTGCGGAAACAGCTTGACACATATGATATTGAAGGGGCATCCACATGAAGTTGTTCTCTGTTCATCCCAGTTCTGTGTTTTCCCCTGGTTTGCTGCAATCTTTTCCAAACCTGATTTGATACAGTCAGGTTTGTTTGTTTGTTTGTTTAAATATTGCTAACAAGCCACCTTTGGATGATGCCAAGTGCAAGGTGATGCACATTGGAGCCAAAAATCCTAACTATAAATACACGTTGATGGGGTCTGAACTGGCAGAGACTGATCAAGAGAGAGATCTTGGCGTCGTAGTAGATAACTCACTGAAAATGTCGAGACAGTGTGTGACTGCAATAAAGAAGGCCAAAGCTATGCTGGGGATTATTAGGAAGGGTATTGAAAACAGATCAGCCAATATCATAATGCCCCTATATAAATCAATGGTGCAACCTCATTTGGAATACTGTGTGCAGTTCTGGTCACCACACCTTAAAAAGGATATTATAGCTTTGGAAAAAGTGCAGAAAAGGGCAACTCGAATGATAAAAGGGTTGGAACACTTTCCCTATGAGGAAAGGTTAAAGCGCTTAGGGCTCTTTAGCTTGGAGAAAAGACGACTGAGGGGTGACATGATCGAGGTTTATAAGATTATGCATGGGAAAGAGCAGGTAAAGAAAGAGGTACTTTTCTCCCTTTCTCACAATACAAGAACCCGTGGGCACTCCATGAAATTGCTGAGCGGTCGGGTTAGAACGGATAAAAGGAAGTACTTCTTCACCCAAAGAGTGATTAACACTTGGAATTCACTGCCACAGGAAGTGGTGGGTGCTACAAGCATGGACGGCTTCAAAAGGGAATTAGATAAGCATATGGAGCAGAGGTCCATCAGTGGCTATTAGCCACAAGGTATAGATAGGGGCTCTGGGGCAAGTGATGCTCTGTCTTCTTGGTGCTTGGGGGGGTCAACAGTGGGAGGGCTTCTAATGTCCTGGCCCCACTGGTGGACCTCCTGATGGCACTGGTATTTCTGGCCACTGTGTGATACAGAGTGTTGGACTGGATGGGCTTTTGGCCTGATCCAACATTGGCATCTCTTATGTTCTTATGATGCCATGTACATGGAAAGGTGTGTATTTTTTGCAGGTTCCACCTACATCAGTGCTATTTGCCTTTGCCTTAGCCCTGTGCCTACCATTCCTCCCCCTATATCTACTGGAGGGCTTTTTCAAACATTTTTTTTATGAACACAAGGTTGTTGTGACACTATAGTATTAATTGTTAGACCACTATAGTATTATTGTTATAACAGTCTAGTGCCATGAACTGCTTGTTCCCAGCTTTCTTTTAAAACAACCCAAAACAAAACTGTGGCCCTTTTCTTCAAGGAGATTTAAGGGGTTAGATGCAGACTGGGTGTAACTGCTTAGGATTTCACTGTAGATTCCCCAAGTTGTAGTTCAGCTGTTAAAGCAGCTGTTGGGGAGGGAAGGGGAGGGAAGAGAATATAGATCTGTAATGTATCCAGTCCAGACCGCGTGGCCGGCTTGGGCTCCACGCGGTCAGGCACAAACGTCGAGCTTCGCTCCAAGAGACAATGGACTATGCAGATCCTAGCCCACTCCAATCAGGGGGCTAGGTTCCCGGCCGAGAGCCTATGGGACTCTTGGCCACTGTAAATAACGTATTGGGAAGTGGGTGTGTGTTTTGGGTGGCGGTTTCTCGGGGAATATAAGCCGGCCTGCAAGCCGGCCAAAGTCATCTTGTTCCATCGAATAAAGTACGCTTTGGTGAAATCACTCTACGTCTGCGTACTTTTCAAGATCACAGAACCGGGGAAGGGGGAGGTTCTTTCCCCGTGCACCATTTTCCTGAATAATACCAGTCCCCGTCCCCCCCCCAGCTTGTTTTTAGCCCTAATAGGAGAAAATCGGACAGATGGCCACTGTCTTTTTTTTCTCTCTATTGAGGCTAAAAGCAGTGGGGCAGGGGAGTCATTTTTAACTGGACATGGTAGAGCAAGGGAACAGCCTGGTTCCTATGTGTATCACCCATAGCTAATTTTTCAAGAGTAGACTACACATTGGGGTATACCCAAGGCAACATATGTTTTGACCCAAACTACATTTTTCTCTTGTTCTAAGGCTTTCTAAATAGAAGTTAAATCGTTTTCCTTTAGGGTTTTATTTATTCCTAGCTAGCTAAATCTTGCTATAGTAGCTTCAACATCTACGATCTGCATCATTCATGTAGAGCTGTCATTGTCATGGATCACATCTCCATTTAGAATTACCATGTTATTCCATGTAGAATCCTGACCTCCACAGTGATAGAGGGGTGTGTGTGTGTGTGTGTGTGTGCATCACAAATGTAAAGTTATTTGTTGTTTACAAAAGCTAAATCCATTCCTCCCATATAGTTTGTGTTACCTTCTCTGTGTGGTTTTTCTCTTTCTTCAGACTCTGCAAAGAATTCTGTTCTCCATGTAAAAGCTGAAGTCCATAAATCTATAGACAGCTATGCATCCAGCTTGGCTAGAGCAATTGAAGCGGATGTGCGGATTGCCTTGTTTGGAGGAGACGCTGTACCTGGCTCTTTGTTTCCAGTGCGGACTGTGGTGGGGAGCAACGCATGTGCACGACGTGGGGGCAGGGCCCACATTGGCCAAAGGCTGCAGCTACAAAGCATCGAAGAAGGGAATGCTTAAAATCACCTAAATAGGGAAGGAACCTACAGAACCACTGAGGGCGACACAGGGCTGCTTTCCCTTTGGAAAAAAAGGATAGCTTTGAAAAGCAGCCTCCAACATTTTAGCCAAGGACATCTGAAAATACCTGAAGATTTGTCTTGTACAGTATTAGAATTTGTACATATATGTAAAAGAAACCCTACACATCGTATGCCACCCTGTATACCTAGGGCCACTGTGTGGCTGAATGGCTAAGAAGCAATGGAACTGTTTTGTTTGTGTGTGTGTGGGGGGGTTAAATGGGAGGAATTAGAAACAAGCCAAATTTATTAATGAACTGAAAATTGTTTTCCTTCTCTAACAATGCGATCCTGAGAATGCCTTCATGAGAGTAAGCCCCATTTAATAGACCTCAGTAGGATTCTGAGTAAATCTGGTTAGGAGTGCACTGTAAGTGACACAACTTCTTGCAGTATTAAGAACATAAGAACGTAAGAGACGCCAATGTTGGATCAGGCCAAAGGCCCATCCAGTCCAACACTCTGTGTCACACAGTGGCCAGAAATACCAGTGGCATCAGGAGGTCCACCAGTGGTTTCTCTAGCCACTGAGATCATCCATTTTCCAAGACTGCTTCTCTCGCTGTGCCCCACTGCTTAGGAAAACTCTTGCAGTTTGTTCCAGATAGGAGTCCGGTGACACCTTAAAGATTACCAAGATGTACTTCAGCATAAGCTTTTGTGAGTCAGAGCTCACTTTATCAGATGTGTAGATGGTGTTAAAGTGTCATTGGACTCCTGTTTAATTTTGGTACAACACACAAGCATGGCTGCTGTTCTGGAATTTTCTCCAAGCATCCTTGGAGAAAACTACAATGAAATGGGACAGTTGTTTTAATAAACCCAGTATGATCCATCAAAGGTAAGTACGTTGAATTAAAAAGGGAAAGGGGAGTAATTTATATAAGTATTAGTTACTTTCCTGATTGAACAAAAGAATAAAGTAGAATTTCCTGCTCAGAAAGGTGTGTTTGACTCTATACTTAGGCTTGCTTTGATGAACTCTGAAGTCCACCATGCACTTAGGTTTAGTTAATTAGCAGCATTTGAACTAGTTCTTATGTGCAATTATTTCTGTCAGGTGTTTTATTTGAGGATGAATTGCACATGGAGGTTTTTCTGAAGCAAAACCAAATCGTTATGTGCAATTATTTCTGTCAGGTGTTTTCTGAAGCAAAACCAAATCATAGGGTAAAGTAGATGTTTGAAGCATGGAACTGGAATTCTTTAAATGCAACATCTGAACACCCATAATACAATTTACTGCTGTGCGCGAAGGTCTTTCATGTGCTGCCATATTTATGTGGGTGTTTGATAATGCTTAATCTGGCAGTTTATGGGAGCCTACCTGAAAGTTTCTACCCCCGCTGTTCAAAGGAATCGCTTCTTTGGGAGTTCACACAAAGGTGAAACCTTTTTGCTGTGTCACAGTTTAGCTATCCTTGTATATGTGGGCTTTGAGGATGAGAAAAAAGGATGAGTTTTATTCTCACAACGATGTGTTAGCACAGGTAGAATCACAAAGAATTAGATGTACATCAGTTAGGTGCAAGCTAAACCTTGCAGTGCCATCCTAAGCAAAGTTATCTCCTTCTAAGCCCATTGACTTCAACAGATTTATAAGGGTATAGCCCTGTTTAGGATTGGACCCTCAAATTCCCTTCCTTTATTCCATCAGCCTGAATGGAAATACAATTCATACATGCCTGTTTACATCATATGGGAGGGATTTTGAGGATTACTGGAATAATCTAGCCCTGGACCTCCTGTGCTCTGCCATCCATAACAGTTCTACAGCAATTGTTATCTCTCTATTAGCCACAAAGGACTACAAGCTTTTTAAAGCCTGAAATAAATGCTGCTCATGTAGCTTCCGTAAGGCACAATGTGCAGTCCCTTTCTGTTGGCTTTAAAGAGCTGTCTTTCTAGCATTAGGATGGGTTCTGAATCTGAAAAAGCAACAGACCTGTACTTTTTGTGCTGTCTGCCTCTCTTGTGATCTGAAAAGCCTTTAGTTCTTTAAAGGTTTGGCAAGAAAAAGAGGGCCTGACTAGATGATACATTGGGAGTTCTGTGAATGGAGTTTCTGGCACTTAAAAACAACAACACCCTACTCAGCAGGCACCTGGGGATCCAGTTTGGATTGGGACCACCCCATGAGGGAATGGTTATGATGGCAGGAGTCAAAATTTTGCACTGACCTTTTTGCTGGACTGTCTATCCAAATTATGTTTAGAACAATGTACCTGTGCTAGCAATAGTCTTGAAATGTAAGTGTGTTCTGCTGTATAGCAGAATAGCTATGGCAGATGGGTTCAATCCATTCCACTCTTTCATCACAGGAAGTCTTAGCAAAAAGGAGTGACCCATCTCCATGTTTAAAGATTCCTGTTAATGCCGTTTCTACAGAACAATATACTTTTTGTACTCACCTCTCTTACACAGTTGTAAATACCCATGTCTTCCAAAGATCAATGAATAACAACCCAAAGTAGTATTTTCATTCCCAGAATGTTGTCATTTCTCACATATCATGGTGGCACTTAAAGCTTCTAACCCTTGTCAACTGAAACCCTTTTCCCCCTGAAAGACAGATGTGACTGTCTTCCGTATTTTAAAGAAAAACCCTTTCAAATAATGGGGATTGTTATTCTGATCTTACTTTTATAGTGAGGAACAGTCAGTGTTTGCCATTGTTATTACAAAACGTTTTGGGAATGTTTATGGTACTTTGTTATCTGGCACAAAAGTAAGTCTGTATTCTTATAGAGAAACTCTATATGTTACATATTACTTTTGTATTTCTTCCCCAGGTTTTAGAATGATACATTACTTTCTATCTTCATTCTCTAAAAATAAAAATATTTTAAGATAGCATTTTTTCACTCTGAAATGTGACCCCAGTGGTAACAAAGTATTTTCTAAACACTGGCAAAATACCAGCTCTTTAAGCAAGGTCTGGTTACATGACGTAAGAGCATGGTATGGTAAGATAGCTTGAGCAGGCCAGTCACCTTCCTTACTTCAACTGCCCTCAGCATTCTCTGCTTCCTGGAGACCAATGAGCATACTCATTCCTCATGAGGCCATTTGTTTTTCTTGGGGGGGGGGAGCTTTTTCATTTATAAAGTAATATATTTCATCATGCCTTGGGAATCCGCCTGGACTATCCTGGTCAGGACTGAAACCCCTGTATTTTCTGGGGGCACCCTTATTTAACTGCTCTACTGCCAAAGAATGTTGGGTTGTTGTGTGAGACTGCAAGGGGAAGAAAATTACCCCTGACCTAAATGTCTCCCCTCAACATGCTATAAGCTCTCAGAGGCTTGAGCACAGACTAATTTCCCCATCTCTCTTTTCTTTTTCAACATTCCACATCTCAAGCATGCACCACATTTGTCAGGCTGTTGTTTTCTTCTTTTGATGCATGCAGCCACATTTTTTTCCGCATACTTGCAGAGCCAGCAAATATCCAGAAACCCAGAACTTAGGAAGGGGTAGTTTTGCTGCTTTCATGATTGACACCATCCACTATTTTTACTATTATAGTGATGATAAACAATTAGCACAAATATCTATTACTTCTCTGACAGTTTAAGACAGTTCTCTGACAGTGCAATCCTAAACAGAATTTAAGATTTATCACAGCATACGATTTTGTGAGCCAAAGCTTCAGGTTCATGAAGTAAACCCTTTATGCACCTGATAAAGTAAGCTCTGACTCTCAAAGTTTTATGTTGAAATAAATTGTGTTAATGTTGAAAGTGCCAAGGGACTCCATATTTTATTCTGCTGCTACAGAATAGTGGAGCAGGCGCTCCAGAATTGCCACAATGTCATACAGTGCTCTTTTTGCATTTGATTTCGAAACTAGAGGCTTCTAGAATAGATGGTATTGATTATTTTAATGTTACCACTGAATTTAAATTGTTGCTTTTGAACCTAATGTAACCATCCTTGGGATAAGAATGTGGAAACAACTAGTCAAATTCTCGATACAGAACTTCCCAGTTTGGACTTATCATACCCACAATCTCTATAGGATGCTGTAATTGGATTTGTGTGATATCTGTAGTGATTCCCCACACTGTCCTTGCCCTCGAGTACCTGAGAGGCAGCAGGGATCTGCATGTGTGTGAGAAGGCTTGCACCCACTTTCCCTCTTCACTCCTGTTGTATGGGGCAGATACCTGCCAGTGCTCAAACTTACCTGCCCTTCCCTTGTTGTCTGTAGTTTGAGACTCAGGCAGAGGTGACCTACATGCTTGCGTTGGCTTCTGCACACTCCCTGTAACTCCAAGATTGAGTTGCCTGCTCTATAACCTGCTCCAAAGAAATAGTGCATAAGCCAAAAAACAGTAAGTCAGGCTATCTGACATAGTGAGAAATTCAATTATTGTATCAGTGGGTAGCTGTCTTGGTCTGCATTAGAACAGCTAGATTTGAGTCCAGCAGCACCTTAAAGTCCAACAAAAGTTTTGGGGTATGAGCTTTGACTCTTGAAAGCTTATACCCTGAAAATCTTATTGGTTTCTAAGGTACTACAGGACTCAAGTCTAGCAATTATTGTGTGTTAGTAAAACCTCATTTTAAAAAATTTCACAGACTTCTTCGGTTAATATACATGATCACCAGGTAACCAAATTTCCTACTAATAGATTTTTAAAAATACTTGGCCTGTTTTACATAGCAGGTCCACTTACTAAATTGTATTAGTGTCCCCACTGGTTGCCATTAATGAGTCTTGTGAAAGAAGATTGCACCATCTCCTGTACCTCTGTGCTGGCCTCATCACTCAGGGAAGGAGCTGGAATTACGGCCAAGCAAACAGGAACCTGCTTTTGCTCACAAAGAGTGTGATGTTTACGTAAAGCGAGCAGAACCTTGACTTTTATGGTCTTATTGTCAAACTTCTTGCTAATATGTCATAGTGTTTAGCATACCATGATAGGCCAAGAGCTATTCAGTCATGATTCCTGTCCCTCTCAGCACAGTACTAGCAGCCTTAAGTTTATATTTCAGCTCTGTATTTAGAATAGGGAATGGTTCCAGCCATCACAGCAAGTGTCAAGGACTGGATGACTGCTGGAAGCATTCCATTGACTAAAGTGTTTCCCAGACTGTTTCTGTACATCCCAAGAAGCTAGCAAAGGTAATCCTCAACGAACCCAACTAGTTCCCTTCTCCCATGCTTGAAATTAATGACTAAAGTGACCAAATGAAAGCTAGATACTCGGGCTATAAACACTTTTGGCTATTGAGGGGAAAACCCTATTGACTAGCCCAAGGTGAGCAACAGTAACCACTTCAAACAGGAGTCCCGTGGCACCTTCAAGACTCCTGTTTTGAAGTGGTTAGTGTTGTTCACCTTGGGCCAGTTGATTCTCTCTTGACAAAACTCTGTGAACCAGGAAACAGTTGTTGTAGGGCACAGCACTCTGGATAGGGGGACGTATGATAGGACACACAACCAGGTGGGTAAGTCATGTTGGTCTGAAGCAGTAGAACAAAGTTCGAGTCCAGTGGCACCTTTAAGACCAACAAAGTTTTATTCAAGGTATGAGCTTTCATGTGCATGCACACTTCCTCAGGCACAAGAAGTGTGCTTGCACACGAAAGCTTACACCTTAAACTGTTGGTGGTCTTAAAGGTGCCACTGGGCTCAAACTTTGTTCTTCAGTTAGATAAACCGACACAGTTATCTTTCATTGCTGTCACAGTGCGGCTGCTTTCTGTGGGTGTTTTATTGTATGAAGAAGAAGAAGAGATGAAGGTCCAGCATTTCTCATTACAGGAAATAAAGACCGGGCGACTCAAGTTTTCCTGTCTTCGTTTCCGCAGCGCCGCACTACCAGAGCGACCCACAACCTGAAAAAGCCTCGTTCACTCGCCTAACGCCTCGAGTCACGGAAAGGACGGCTATCCTTGCCGATCAACCAATGGCTTTGCCTCTCGCCTCTGCTCTCGTCGATTGGGCAGAAGACAAGTACGTGAGGACGGACCGTTTAGGTTTTAATTTGGGGGGGGGGGGGGGCGTTTCCTTAACTTCCTTTTCTTCCAGCTCTCTTGTTTTGATAGGCTACAAGGATTCCAGTGGGCGGGGAAAGCAGCGCGATTGGCAGGTTTGGGGAGCCTCTTCGGCGGCGTCTTTGGGCTCCTCGTCCTTCCTTTATAGTTGTCGGAGATGCGCTGTGCTGAGAAGCCGGTGTAAAGAGTGTGATATTTGTGGCCCTCGACTGTGCGACTGAACAAGCAATGGAGAAGGTGTTGTGCGCGGCGCATGGTGAGGAGTGGGCCGCGGCAGCTGGGACCGGGTGGCACGTGCGGAGCGAAGGAAGGCGGCTGGCTTGCAGTTCCGAACGGTCCCCGAGCTCTGCGCGCCCTCTGATTTCCACGGCGGATCTGTGGCTAGAAATCCGGGGGTGGGTGGGGAGGAATCCCTGTAGAAAAACCAGAATCTCAAGGCAGAGAGCCCGTATGCTTAACTGTATTAAAAAGTAATGAAAATAATCTTCTGTATGAAGTTCGAATACCGAAGTGCTTGGTAGGTGTTAAGTTATCTCAGTTCCTTTGAATCCATTCCTAGAGCACTGAATGTGGCAGAAGCAAGTTTTCTTCTTGAGCGTTCTGGGTAGGAGGCTGGTTACAGTCTGTGTCTTGTAGAGGCTTATGTCAAGAAAGGGGGCATCTGGCCACCTGTGTGGCAGAAGAAATGCCCGAGGGCAGTACCAGGTCACTGCTTCTTTGCTACAGGTGAGTTTCACTGCAGTGTATGTGCCCAGCTGAAGCGTTGTCTGCACCTTCCCCCACGGGGCTGCAGACCTTTTCAGTGTCCCAGAGGCAAAGTGGCTTGATGAAATGGTTTGTTGTATCAAGAGAAGGAAAGCTGAATGTTCGAAATATTTTTTTTAAAAAAAAATCATTACATATGTGAGGTAGAACCAAAATGTTTTTATTGTACAACCACAGTGGGTTTGACTTAGGCTGCCTCTATGCATCTTCTGTGGCTCCTTTCTTAACCTCTCTTGTTGTTTCTTTGTCCTTCTCAGGGTTTCCCTGCTTTTTAAAGACTGGCATCAAGGACGGCCCAAACAAAAACAAAAGCTTTTATGTGTGTGGAGTCCAAGGCCAGCCACCTTGTGGATTTGTCCTCCCCACCCAGTATGTTGAACATTCTTACATTCTTGATGATTGTCTGAAAAACTATGCTTTGGGAGTTACCACTTAAGTTAATTTTTAATTAAACTTGTGCTCTTTGTGCTTGTTCAGGAAGAACCTTAAGCACATAACATTCTACAGCTTATTCTTCAGGAAGAACCTTAAGCACATAACATTCCACAGCTTGTTCAGAATCAAAATGTGGTAGCTTGTATTCAGACAGTTATTAATTTAAGTTATTGGGTAGCCTTGGGCCCAAGGCTCCATTCACAGGGCAAATTTGCCCTGCGGGAGGGACAGCTTGCCTGTGGATTAAAGCTGTGCGATCATACCTGAACAACTGGGAAACGTTGCACTCCCGTCTTTAACCCGCAGCTTCGGCCCGAAGATGCGGATTTAAAAGCTACTGGGAACCATATACTAGTTTCCCGATAATGCACGGCGCATGCGGGCATCTGATCAGGAAGCGGTGGTAGCTCGTTGCGGCCAGCGCCCGTTGGCATCACACGCATGTGCACAAACGCCTTGTTGCTGTGTCACCTTGCGTGGTGTGATCGGCTGCCGGAGGCTTGGGCACGGAGCCTCGGGTGAAGGTGAGATCACGCTACCGCTCGTCTTTTTGCTCTGGCTCAAAAAGCCTCCCGTCCCCTGCGGATTATCCTGTTCGTGTGACCGGGGCCCTAATAACTTTTCATTTGGAGATGATTTAGCCTAGGGGGTTTGCTCTGCACACGTTTTGACTCCTTCCTTCCCTCCATACTTGAGACCAAGTGGGAAAGTTTATAATTTGTAATTATTGGTTTTAGATGAAGTATGTGCCTGTATAAGACATGGATTGGCTCATTTACTTAAGTTCTTTGGTGATATCTACCCTGTTATGTGATACATATGCTCTTCCTGTGGCCTTAATTGTGTGTGTTGATGCAGATGGATGGATGCAGATATCCTTGCATCTAGGCAAGCGGGTGAACCAGCCAAACCTTTCTGAGACACAGTCTAACAGGAAGTTCTTCCACTGCTTCAATTGTTCGAATGGGGCTTGTGTAGGACAACCTTATGCTGAATTGTGCCTGTAGCCTTACAGCTATGTGTGCAGAGCTCTGCCTTGTTTAAAAGCTTGTTGCTATGGTTACTAGTAAGCAACACTACATCTTTTTCTCAATACCATACTCTGCAGATTGGATTTGACATGATTTCTTTTTAAAAACAACAGTATAGATGATGTGCTCAGAAATATTTATCCATCTCTATGGATCTGCACATCTATGACTGCATACAGTTTTGAATGAAGAACAATAAGGGGAAACTGCAAATACTTTCTTAATACCTTTACATATACTGTCCTCCTTTGCATTTTTAAGGTGACATTAATGCTGGATCACAGTGCTGTCTTTATACTAAAAAGCATCTCCTATAATCAGGTTGTTTATTAACAGGTTCATGGTATACTCATTGAGAAAAAGAAGAGTAGTATCACATGTTACACATTCCATGCTAAGTGTTTGAAAGATTATCTGCTTTTCCTGTAATGCATAAAGCAACTTTAATAGGTTATACTCCATTATCTGGAAGCTAACAGTAGGACAATATTAACATTTGAAAAAGAAAAAAAAATGTAAGTGTACCAATTAACAGACCTGATGTGGAATATTTGGCTTGCAAACTAAATGATGCAAAATCTTCTGGCACCTTCTGGCTTGCAAACTAAATGATGCAATATCTTCTGGCACCTTTCAGGATCTGGGTCATAAAACACAAGAGCCTTCTAATAATATGTTGGGCAGTAGATACCTACTTTAGAATGAAGGCTCCAATTCCTTTACATCGGCAGGTGTTGCTCCCTCATAGGTTTTATATCATATGGAAGAGTAGCAGGACATAAAATAATCTTTTGGAACATTGGCTGAAGATCTTTCAAAGAACCTTATCTATCCCTTCTGTAAACTTTACTTAATGTGAATATATTTTCTTCCCTCAGACTTTGTCCTTCTCACTGCTTGATGCATGAAGAGTATGTGGTGGACCTGCAAGTTCTGATCCAGCAGCAGGGGACAGACCAGTATCGGTATATTTTCCAAAGAACACTTGACGTTTTTGATGTTCTCATGGCGTAGGTTGGGGTGGTCCAAAGTATGAAAGACCCTGCTTGATGTTACATGCTTTCTTTTGTTATTCACCAGACTGTTCTATCGATGTGCTCAATGTAAAAAGGAAGGGAAGAAGTGGTGTGGAAGTGTTCCATGGCAGGTACTTATACCTTATTCCTGCTTTTTTGTTTCCAGCAGTGTGAGGCGTTAACATTTTTGGAATGCAGTTGTGCACACTGATCAGTTAACTGTTTTCTGTACGCAGCTGAACTTGGCTTATTGCCATATCCTCTGCTCTCTTCACTCTTCCCACTTGCCTCTTCCTTGACCTATATAGCTTGATTGATAACTTCCTTGTTTGATCAAGCTCCAGTTTGCCATGACAGGTACCGTGGCAAATTTAAACCTCCCCTCCCCCCACTAGCTGGAATTCTAAATCTCAGTTAAGTATCACTTTAGACTATCAGTTTGAGGATGGGAGGGAACAAGCTCCTCTTTGCTCAGATGCCTGTATTTGGACCTGATAGCAAACTGGAGCTTGAGCAAACCATAGAGCAGGGGTGTCGAACTCATTTGTTATGAGGGCTGGATCTGACATAAATGGGACCTTGTTGGGCCGGGCCATGTGTGTCATAAAATGTAATGCCAGGTAGCGGAGATATAAACTTTATAAAGGATGCAGACAAACGCAATTAAAGATTTTTAAAACTTTAAATAAAACATGCTTAAAACACTAGCACTCTTGCACTCTGATAACTGACACCTCTGCTTTGAATTATTGCATTAGAATGTCTGTGCTGTAGCAATATTGAGTATGCTGTTCAGGTGTGTATCTGTAAGCTGCAAACCTACTTTTGATTTATTGACATTTTTTACAGAAATCTCATGCTCGGTGTTCCTAGCCTAGGATCCAGGGGAAA